CCGTAAAAATAAAAAAACTTTTTACAACTTTTGTATAATATTTTTAAATGAATTTAAAATATAATGTATTTAATATATTTATCTCTACCCTTTGCAAGTGAGTGTGTGAATATTGACTCTATTTCTATAACTTGCAGTGCAAATTTCTATAATTTGTTATTATTCCTGCGGGATGGTAGGATCCGCTTTACTGCATTTTTCTCTTCCACTTTCCTCCAAATAACGCATCATATTCAGTTTATTTGCAGGTGCTGAGATCTTTGTAGAGCACATCCGTCTATATAATTTTCAGGTTTCGGAGCCCAGAAATTATTTATTTATTTATTATTATCCCGTGGGTGTCATAAGAGGCCACACAGAGAAACAAAACAGAAGATAAGCAGCGGCGTCTTGTTAATAACAACTAAAATTGAAAGTGCGGCAACCAACCCGCTTGCCAAGCACGGTATCCCCATATAAGGCAATCTATGAAGAGGTCTATGTTCAGCAGTGGATTTTAATAGGCTGATTTTTTTTTTATAGGATAAGGGCGACAAACGAGCACACAGTCCACCTGATGGTAAGTGGTTGCTGTAACCCATAGACATCTACATCTATCCTCTATTACAAATCAAAATGTAGATGCGTTGTCACCCGTGAGGACTAATATGGAATGCCTCATTTCCAGTAAAAAGGGCCTCCGGCCACCTGCACTCACTAAGCGAAACGCAGAGGTAAACCTCTACTTCACGCTGGTTTTCTGTGAGGTCGTGGTACCACCCCGGTTCGAGCCGGCCCATTCGTGCGACAGCAAAAGCTGCCGCGTGGCTCTACCACTGTTCAAACGGTACCGGTTATCTACCCTTACAGGTCGAACCTAATGCATTAGTGTTCTCTTTTTCGTTCTAAACTTAAATCTTGCAATAATAATATTGAAATAAAAGGAGGTGTCTAAAAAAACTAATATATAACGTTAAGTTGTTTAGATCAAACGTACAAAGAGTCAGCTTAAAAGAAATTACTATTATTTTTAAAAAAAACTTTTTATACTTAAAATAACACTTTATTCCACTACTCCTAACTGTATTAACTGCCTCGTTAGTCTGGTGGTCGTGCACGCGCCTACTGATCTTGAGCTCCTGAGTTAGAATCCTGGGTTGGACTAAAAATCAACAGTTGTTTTTCTGACAAAAATTCTTAATGGCAGCTCGGAGTCACGAAACCCTAAGCCCGATCCCTATCCTGTAGTGTCGGGTTGCCGTTCGTCCGAGCTCAGAGAGAGAGAGAGAGAAAAAAATAGAAGTGCACCTGTGCTTGCGCACGCTCGTGCGCTTTGATCAATTTTTTTTTATATAGGATAGGAAGACAAACGTGCACACAGTCCACCTGATGGCAAGTGGTTGCTGCGGCCCATAGACATCTACAATTTATCCTCAATAAAGGATCAAAATGCAGATGCGTCATCATCCGTGAGGACTAAGATGGAATGCCTCTTTTCCAGTAAAATGGGTCTCCGGTTCTCTACACTCACCATACGAAACACAGCAGTGTCAAGCTGCTATTTTACGACGGTATTCTGTGAGAGTGTGGTCCTTCTCCGGTAGTACCAATCCATTCGTGCTACAACTATACTACTAATATAGCTGCAAAATGGCTCTACCACATATAAAATATTAATAAGAGTTAAAATATTAATAGAAGTTCTTCGAATTAGAAAATTATATAGAAGCAAACCTCACTTGAGAGAAAAGCAACGTCCTTGACAACATATAACACAAATTTTCATACAAGCACTAATTACCTCGCTATTTGTAATAGCAATGGACACCAGACCGAATTACGGTCACGGCGGCCAGTCTCAAAGGGGACAAGCCATTTACACATGACAAGATTTTAGTGCACGAGTGTATATGTTACGGATAAAAGCCGAAGTGCGGATACACCTAGGTTTAGCCGGCTACTACTATGTGCAGCCTATTGCGGTTGGTTAAACTTAGGTGTATCATATATAATTTATAAATTAGATAAATGTCTGCGTTTTGGGGTGACCCAAGGGCGAGAACTAGGTGTAAACGTACTTCGGCTTTTAGACGTAACATATATACATATACTAGAAACAGAAAAACACTGTTTTCTTCCGCGTACGACCTCTCTGTGCAATAGCTTACCACCGGCGACAAGACAAGAGCTTACTCCTTTTTAAAAAGCCGGCAACGCACCTGCAATTCCCCTGTTCATGGGCGGCGTTAGTCACTTACCATCAGGTGAGCCGTAAGCTCGTTTGCCCCCTCTCCTATAAAAAAAACATATTTAAATCTCAACTTTCAATGTTGGTGACACTGTGACCATCTGTGTAGGAAATAATGTTATAAATTATGTATGATATATCAACCGCAATCGACTACACCTTGTATTAGCCGGCTATCAACCGCACTTCGGCTTTCAGCCGTATCATATACACAAACACAGATGCACTCTATTCCCTCACCTCATATTCCGATGGGGCGGTAATCCGACTTACGGAAAGAGATCAGCCGTAGGGCGTACGTGCTTTCCAGGGGATGAGCTTGAAACACCGCCAACTTCCAGTATCCGGGTCGCTAAAAATTTATTGTCAGAACAGACTATCTGATTTGAACCCGAGATCTCACGATCAGCAGCTGCATTTACACGCCACTAGACCAGGTAGTCAATCAGTTGTCTATTTCAAATACTATAAGAGCGAAAGAGAAATAACGATACAGATGTGTAAGAATTTATTGGCAAATGTTATAGTTCAGCTGCTCAGCTCCAATGCCTGATGAGGAAAAGAAGGACGCACCAGCGGCCCCAGCGGCTGCTGCAGCCGCAGAGATTTCACCGTCACCAGCTGTTGCGGCTGAGGTAAGGTTTGAGGTATAGCTTTTAAGTATGCTTCTACCAATCAAACGGCTGGCGATTCTGTTCACATGAAACCGAGAAAACTGGTTCTCATCACTCTCCATACTAATTTAATTATAAGTGACGATGATAATATCAATAATACATTACATTCAAAGGATATCGAAACAGAGATTTATAAGTTAAAATATAGCAAACCGTGTAAGAAGGTTCATTACCCCTTGCCGTTCCGTGGGTGTCGTAAGAGGCCACAGAGGAAAACTGAAACAGGAAATAGGCAGCAACGTCTTCATAATAACAGCTGAATATAAAAACACGGTTACCAACTCATCTACAAAGCGTGGCAACTATGGCTGATGGTATATACGTGTACGTGTTTATACAGCTATATTATGTTTGTGGCATGAATGGGTCAGCTCGACCGGGGTAGGACCACGCTCCCACAGAATACCAGCGTAAAATATCATTATAGCATATTACATAGCCTATGTCACAGCTACAATTAAAACGAATCTAACAACACTTCATATGTTAAAATCCATCCAGCCGTTTAGGCTATACAGCACGCCAAAAACAGTACCTATTCTCCTTCTGGAGCAGTCGAGTAAAATGATTTCATGGCTTTCTTTAGATATATATGCTAAAACCCTCCCCCTTTACGCCAGGCATAAAATATTATTTTACGAAATTCGTTAAATGTTGACATTTGGTGTTGTTAATGTCCGTCTTAAATATCATATTCTTCTTTTTCTTAATCAACCCAGAAAATTTTATTGACTGGGCCTCCTCGTTTAAGGGAAAATTTATCTTAACCTTCACGTGGGCCTAATGAAGTTCAAATTACCATACGTCTCGCACCTTTGACACTGCTGTCGTCGTCAATCCAGATTTTTACGCCCGCCTGGCATCGTAAGCAAAATGGCTATATATCTATAAGAAGTCATATGATTTATTTGGCAGTTCTCATAGCTGCCTCTTACGACACCTTAGGGAAGATGAAATAGGATTCTATCCCGCCGCCACCATTCGGCCACGTTATTACAACAAGGACCAATTATGTCCCCAGCCCAAGACGCTGACGTCACTCTTTCAGAATGCAATGGCCTTTCATTAACCTTTAGAGGATTTTTTGAGCCAAAAATGAGCATCATCGTTAAAGATTATATTCTACGAAAAAGTGAAATCGTCATGAATTTGCTGTAAAGCGAAATTTTGGCGCTGTTAATCAGCAACCTTTAATTCTTACGTCAGCTGTATTTCGTAAGGGCGTAAATCTAAATCTTTTCTCGCCAAGTTGAAGTCTTAGATAAGTCGACTTGCTGAGAACTCTCACACTTACAATTAGTTCAATATTCTCGGTGTTTCGCACATTTCAACGACGGGTGAATAATCGATCAGCGAGCAGGTTTCCAATTTTTTTCACTATGTGACTGAAAGTGTCCTGCTTAGGATGATTATTTGACCAAAAGTTTCTCGTAACGCACGAAAAACTTGACGAATTGAACTGCCATTTTGATAATATACTTTAATCACTTTAACGCGCATTTAATGTCACATCTGTCAAAAATTCGCGCCAATAGACAATCTAACATGGCCGTCATCGGCAGTCAAATATACCTTGTCCCTATTTAAAAACCCTTTATAAGCTTAAGTAATATGTTATAAATAACGTTGAATTATAGGTGAAAGCTGCCGCACCGGAATCAACTTCACCACACCCCGAAGTGCCTGCACCGGTTGAAGAGAAAAAGGCGTAATCGAGGTCCAAAATTTAATCTCTCTGCAAGAGACATGCTCAGGCAAACCATCTTAATGGGTGCCTAATGTATTTACTGTAATGTTTGTAATAATAAAGTCTTTGATGACTTTGATGTTTCAATCAATCCTGAAAATGCCTTGGAGGAGGCAGGCTCTTGTTCAAAAATCTACAGAAACTAGACGCGCGACTGTACGTTAACCAAGTTTGGAAAAGAAGTATGTTCTAGCACGCATTATCAGGCATCCTTTAAAACAGTAGAACTGGACAGTGTGGGCCCCAAAACGTGGAATACTATCGATCTCATAACAACTTTATAGGGGGAAGTTAGTAAAACAACTAGAAGGTAAATTCGTGCTGAAACTGCTTTAATTCTTATACTGCACTAATTGCTGGTAAAGAATAATATATCTCGGACGCTGGCGCGGGTCACCAGCTCCAGCGTCGGTTGTCCCACTGTTACCTGCAGTATTATAACAAGCATTATAAAAAAGTAAGGGCTGTGAGCTTACATACGTAGCATTGATGGGTGGATACCTACACATGACCTGTAGGTATGTTTTCTTAGTTGTATAAGGGTGACAAACGAGCACACAGTTCACTTGATGGTAAGTGGATGCTGTGGCCCATAGGCACCTACATTTATCCTCGATTAAGAATCAAAATACATATGCGTTGTACCCCTGAGGACTAAGATGGAATGGCTCGATTCCAGTAAAAAGGGTCACCGGTTCTCTACACTAACCATACGAAACACAGCAACCTTAAGCTGCTATTTTAAGCTGGTATTCTGAGAGAGCGTGGTCCTAACCCGGTCGAGCCGACCCATTCGTGCTACAACTAATATAGCTGCAGCGTGGCTCTACCACGTACCTATATAATGTAAGGAAAATTATCCTTTTCTGCTTTTTCCCACCAGCGATTTTTTCAGAATGATACCACTTAGGGACCTTCAAGAAAAGAGCCTACTCTTTTTAAGTCCTGCAACATATCTGCAATTACTCTGGTGAATCGCATTCTCGTTTATCCCCCCCCCCATATATATAAAAGAGTCCGTCTGGGTAAGTACCACCCTCTTACCTAATTCGCCAAATAGCATTAGCTGCACTGTTGTGTTCCCGTCTGAAGGATATGGACAGCCAGTACAATTACAGGTTGTGAGGTATTCCATCTTAGTCTTCAGGGCTGACGGCATATCTGTAACGTATTTCTTTGTTTGAAGTGGGCTGCAGATGTCCATGGGTTGCAGTAGACATAATCGGGTGGACTGTAATTTCATATGTCACTTCATTTGAAAAAAAAAATCATAAAGAGTTTTAGATAACGGCCGATACCTGTACAGTAGGTGTGTGCCGACTGGACTCCCCAGAGATCGGTTCAGATCGCGGTTCCCTCGTCGTGTCTCTTTTTCTCCGCTTGTATGCCGCGCGACGACCCATCTCTTGTCTCCTTCGCACCGACCCCGCGGTAGTTGTCGACTCTAGTTTTAATATAGCACATTACAATAAGGAATATTTTGAAAGCGTGTTTATGAGTGAGGAAACGTATGCATTAAATGAACTGGAAATTGAGAAAGAATAGGAAAGACCAAGGAAGATAAGTTTAGATGAAATAATGAAAGCAATGAAAGCAGGTAAGGCAGCCGGGTATGATAGAGTATCGCTCGAAATGCTAATGGCTGGTAAGGGAGTGGTGACAGGCCTACTATGTGCCTTTATTTCATTTATATTGGAAACTGAAGCAAATACTGGGAGACCGGTGCAAAGTCGTTATAGTCCCAATAAAAAAGGGTAAAGGGTCTGTAAAATCTACCGTGGTATCAGCTTGCTTATCATCGTGGGAAAACTGCATGCTAAGGTGTTGATCAAAAGAGTTATGAAAGTAACAGACGGAAAATTTTAGGATGTGCAAGCTGGATTTAGAAAGGGAATGAGGTGTACGGATCAAGTATTTTCCATACAAATGATCGCGGAGAGTTTTTTGGTAAAAAACCAAAGAGTATGTTTGGACATTGTTTCGTCCAAATTAGATTACTATGCGGTATGACTCCTCTCCATCCGTCCATCTGGATAGATACCACCTTCTTACCGTAAACTAGCAGATCCTGCTCTGCTGGGTTCCGGTCTGAAGAGTAAAGAGAAACAGAGCCAATAGATAGGGTATGAAGTATTCTATTTTAGTTCTCATATGTGACAACGCATCTGTAGCCCTATTTGTTCTTTTAGAGATCCGTACCTCAAAAAAAAACGGAACCCTTATAGGATCACTATGTTGTCCGTCTGTCTGTCTGTCTGTCAAGATCCTTTATCTCAGGAATATATCACACAATTATGGTGTAACAACAAGCATCCAGATGGTGTGGATGGTACCGTGAGTTTTTCCCCGACGTACATTGGTAGAATTTGGCGACTGAAATTAATCTCCTGAAAGTACTCCCCGTGCAAAATGCGGTAGAAAATGCAATAGGATGCAACATATCTTCGCAGTGCCAGTGAATCGAACTAAACAGAAAGAACTCGGTCATCGACGATTCAAGCCACTCTTCGATGGATGCGGTCAAGTGGATGGAGCTAGCACCGGGCACCCCGATCCAGAAATGCGAAAGATGTGAGGGGGAACTTGCGCCTTATAAAGTTGCAAACCGCGTGCCTGTATGAAATGCTATCCCACTCTGCTGAGCACGCCAAGCTTTCTAGAGGCCAATTGGCCTTCTATGGGGAAATCCTATGTTCAGCAATGGACTTTAGGCTGTAACGGTAACGGTACTACACATTAAAATGAAAACAAAATGACACAAAAAAACACTGAAATTGAAAACAAAACATTATATAGAAGGTACAATAGGCGGTCTTGTCGCTCTGGAAGCGATTTCTTCCAGACAACCTTTTTGCGTAAAGAACTGTTTACAATAAATTGCAAATAGGGAAGTTATACATATTAGACAATTAAGTTAAAGAAAAAAAAATATAAAAACTCAAGATGATAACATTTGAGGATAGGTATGATAGATACAAGAATGATACAAGAAGAGAAAATGTAGCGAGACATTCCATCTTAGTCATTATTTAATCTGTGTCTTAGTATTCAGGGGTAACAACGCATCTGCATTTCGATTCTTAATTGAGGATAAATGTAGATGTAATGGGTCATAGTATCCACTTACTACCAGGTGGACTATGTGCTAGGTTGTCATCCTTATTCTATAAAAAAATCGGAAGCCATAAATCTCACACGGAACAAAATAGAATCATCGTATTCTATCCGATTGACAAGGTGTTTTTAAGCTGCTGTTAAACCATAGACCACCTAAATATATTATATGAAACGGATTGAAAGATAACAGAGCTAAAATAATTAATTATCAGCATTTCGTAAATTAATTATCAGCAACCTAGTCAGCCAGTCATCCTGAGTGTGATATTTTTTGTCATATTAATTATTACGTACATTTTCTTTTAATTTCTTATAATATATATTTGGTTAGGTTAGATTATGATAGTTGTTAAATTAAGTTGTAATTTTAATTGAAAGACTAATTATTAGTTTGATTAAATGTCTTTTGTTGTTTAAATAGTTAAGGTTTCACATGCTTTTACCAAAATTACTATTGTATTTTTTTGTTTTTTTCTAATTTTGTTTTTTTTTTCTATTATTAACTTATTTCAGATTTATACACTAATACTAGCAAAAATAGCATGTAGTGTTTAGCTTTAAATTATTTTACATACTCTGTGCAAGTAATATAGTAATTATACTTTAAGAAATGTATGTAACGTATGTATTGTAAAATCGCTGGTAGACCTAATAAATAAATAAATAAATAATAATTAAAGGCTATAAAGCAATTACTAGCAAGAGTGATTACCACCCTTAAGGGCAACACTTTTTGTTTAGATTTCATGGCCTTGGACTTCAGTGGCCATTTGTTATCAGGTGGACTAAAAAGCTAAAAACTCCTTAATCGATGTTTCATAGTTGCAATAGTGTTTCCTGTCTCACACTACCTAGATTGATACTCGTAGATCTTGATATTTCCGCAAGAAGCGTGTCCAAGACTTATATGAGACCCAAGCTGCCTTGTCCATTCATCCATCCATTACAGCCAATAAAAGTCCACTGTACTTAGGCCTCTCCCATAGATTGCCTCAAAGGAAGACGATTTTGCCATAGTTGCCACTCTTAGTAACACAAGGCAACCTTTAAGGCAACCGCAGTTTTTTTATTACTTATTTTGTGTTGTTATCAGAAGATGCACATCTGTTTTAGTTTCCCTATGTCGCCTCTTACGACAGCCCAGCCACGGTACAAGTAGTGGATATTCTTACACCGCCGTGTAGTGGCGGTGTAAGAATTGTTTTAATTGTTTATTTTTATAGGAATAGGGTGACAAACGAGCATACAGTCAACCTGATGGTAAGTGGTTGCTGCGGCCCATAGACATCTACATCTATCCTCTATTACAACAAATAAAAATGCAGATGCATTGTCACCCGTGAGGACTAAGATGGAATGCCTCGTTTCCAGTAAAAAGGGCCTCCGGCCACCTGCACTCACCAAGCGAAACGCAGAGGTAAACCTCTACTTCACGCTGGTATTCTGTGAGGTAGTGGTACCACCCCGGTTCGAGCCGGCCCATCCGTGCAACAGCAAAAGCTGCCGCGTGGCTCTACCACTGTTAAACTATTGTTTATTAAAATCTTGACACTTTACCATCGTCCTCACGAGGTGGCGCTGGCAACGGACGAGGTACAATTGCAGCGCGGGAAATATTTAAGCGACGGTTGTTTATCAAACGCACGAGGCCTTCTAATGCAGTCTGTTTACTCTGTCAATGAAAAAAAAACTACATGTTCAAACTCGTTGAGTATTGTGAAGAAGTAGTGTGACAACATTATGGCACTACTGTGCTTCGGTTTGAAGGGTACCTACCTATAGAAAATCAGTATAATAACGGCTGAGATCTGTTGCCTTCTTTCTTTGAAGTTAGTTGCAGGTGTCTATGGGCTGCAATAGCTACTTAACATCAGGTAGTTTGTAAGTTCGTTTGCCACATAAGTTTTTACAAAAAAACCACTGCCGTCGCGTCGTTTTTTTCTTTTTCAAACCTGTTGGACGAACGGTCGCTTCTAAATTCTGTAGATTTTAAACAAAAAAATATTTAATATTTTTTAAATCCATTGAACCATAAAGTTTTTCAAAGACTATATTATTACAAACATTACAGTAAATATTTTAGGCGCCCCTTAAGATATTTTATTCGAGCATGTCATGTCTATTTGAAGAAGAGCCTTTTTTCAGTTTTCACGACGAATTCATATTCAATAGACCACTTGGACTCCCAGATATGTATTTTAAAAGCAATCAGTCAATAAAGAATAATTTTAAATGGCCACGACCGTAAAATTATTACGTAATTACAGGCAGTTTATGCACACATCCATTGTGTTGTTGCTTAAACTTTAAATGGAATTTTGAATAACACTATCACTCTAAGTCTAATTACTCTATGGACGATCTTTTTTGTCCGTTACAACCTGTATAATTTAAATTTAAAAATTTTGTACAGCCGACTTCAACATAAGTTATTAAGAATAACTCAAAAACTATTTGTCTGACCTTGATAAAATTCATATGGGACCGCACGAGAAGTACTAGCTTTCAAATAAAAAAAGATTCATCGAAATCGGTTCACCCAGTAAAAAGTTATGAGGTAACACACAAAAAAAACATACAGTCGAATTGAGTACCGTCTCCTTTTTGGAAGTCGGCAGAAAAGTCCGCTGTTGGATCCATAGATTGCCTCATAGGTGGGATTTTGCTTTAGTTGCCACACTTGGTAGGCGTGTAGGCAACCGCAGTTTTTTATTATTCTGATTTGTTATCAGGAAGAACAGATCCCGTTGTCCATCTTCTATTTTAGCTTTCCTTTGTCGTCTTCCACGGCAGCTACGAGACGATCATCTAATACCGCCACTACATGGTACGGTATGTACGAAATATGCAAATAAAAAGCGAAAACAACTTTGTCCCACAACTTCCCTACATATTCCCTAAATGATGGTGAAAAGCCTAAAACCGGTATCTCTACGACTCGCACCAATGATAGCTAGCGCGAATGTAATACGAAACTGCCACGCACACCAACCCGTCAATTCTGGCACATATTAGCTTGCTGTATATATTTATTAATCTGTGGCCCATATTTTGAAACGTAATCAAACGTCACGGTATCCGGATATTATATTGTGGTCTAAGTGTAGATTATTATTTAATAAAAATATTACCTATAAAAATAAAATGTTTGATATGATAACAAGAAGCTATGAATTAATATTCTCCTTCCTGTAATTTCCATTTCTTTTTGATAAATTCTAAAGAGTATTTCAATAATTATCATGAAAGAAATCAAAAAGCAAACTACCTTATAAAACGTTAAACTCTATATTATTTGTGTCGAGATAGTATACCAATTATTCTGGAATCGACAATCTCACCTTGACTTCGTCCAGTAAGGGATCAAAGGCAGCCGGATCCGAAGAATCTTTTAGAGCCTCCCAACTTCTGTACAACTTACGGTCTGATACACGCACCAGATTCTCCAATTCGCGGATTTCTGTTTAGAATAAGATCGGTATCACATTAATTGAGATTTTAAAATTTTAAATTAAGTTGAAAGAGCCAGGGGTGGCCCCACGAAATAAAAAATGTCTTACGTTTTTTTGGAATTTGCAGATCAGGGTCAGGTTGTATATTTAACAAAATAAGATTCGTGACCGTAACGAGTATATGTTTACAGAATTATTATCATTAAAATCACCAATACATCCCTGTAAGTTCATATAATCCCTTTGAATGAGTTTTTCTGGAAATAGAAATACAATGGGATTATACGAATAAAAATGATTCTATTATGTTCGATTGTAAATAGATCATTGATGGCGGAAGCAAAGAGCAATAATAAATATATTTGGAAAAATACAGAGAGATTAAAAATAAATGTGTACATTTTTTCCTAAATTTCGCATTAGTACTATACAATGTTTGCATCTTTTTTCGAAAAAATACTATATTTCTTCAAAAAAAAGGTGGCAACTGTATGGTTAGCTTTAGCTGTAACGGTTGTGGGGCTCACCTGTGTGCCTGAGTGTCTCCAGGTGGCGGGCGAGGTGTTGGCGCAGCGCGAGCAGCGCGGCGCGCTGCGTGCGCGAGCGGGACAGCGAGTCGCGCGCGTGCCGCGCCTCGCCCGCCAGAGCCGCCACCTCGCGCGCCTCGCGCTCCAGCCGCCTCTCCATCTCACTAAGCAATAGTTTGTTTGTATTTTAGACCGTGTTATGCAGAAATAATCCAACCCACTGGGACGGCGCTGTCGTCGCGCCACAAGCGAAACGCCCCGAAGCCTAAATCACGCTATCAAAGTTCCGAAATACTGGGGTATATATTGAATGCCTCTGTAATACCACACGGAGCGTCCAGTCAGCAATATAACACGACCAGAGAGAGCTCAGGCGCAGGAACAACGACATTACGTCCTTTCAAAGACACGGTTCTGAAACACCGCCAGCTTCCTGACTCCGGGCCGCTACTTAAAATTTTGGCTTTTTCTATCACAAAATTTTGGGATTCCAACTCATGACCACATGACCAACAGTCACACTTACGACCATTAAACCAACGAAGTAATTACGATACGTTATTTATTTACTAAAGAAAATACTAGCAATGTTTATGAACATTATTTATTTTTCCGTTAAGTGCTTCACGACTGTAGTCGATTGGCGGATTCAAACCCAAGACTTTTTAGTTCACAACCTGCACTTTTCACCATTAGGCTATCATTAATGGAATAAAATGTTATAATATCGTTGTATCATTGCTCATGGACAACGAACTTTAAAAATTTATGAGGGAAAAGGTGTTCTTGAGTGGCAACTTCGTACCGGGAACTTATACATTTGTTTTTCAAAGAGTAGCCAATTTTTAAACTTAAGTTCAAATATATAAATAATGATATACCGTTATTGCAGTTTTTGAAAATACGAGTAAATAAGGCTTCTACTTTTATTTGAAACTAGCTGTACCCCGCGATTTCGCCCGCGTGGAGTTATTTTTCGCGGGACCCTAAAATAAAAGCAGCCCAAGTTACTCGTTATAACATCAGCTATCTGCCTGTGTGTATAAATATTGACAAATATTGACATTAATATTTATTCGATACTAACGTCAATAAATGGCTTTGCCTCCTGAACCCCTCCACTAACACTTAAACTATATGTTATGGTATTAAAGTTCAAATTGACTTTTAAGTATTATTACGAATCTTTTGTATGGGAATATAGAAAAGTGTTGTTTTTAGACTTTTTCAGGCAATTTTTTAAATTTTGCCATCTTCGTGCTTCAAGGGATATTATAAAAAAAGAATTAGCGAAATCGGTTCAGCTGCTCTCGAGATTTGCGCTTAGCAACACATTCAGCGATTCATTTTTATATTTGAAATTATCCCAGATTGAATGTAACTTATGGGTATCGTAGCAATGTTTTTGCCTACCGATCGAGCCTTACGAATGTGTGCATGCGCAGTAAAATCAGTTAATATAATGCATTACCACAAAATGTTTGAGATTATTTTTAATTAACTTTTCTTCACCATTTATATGTATATACTTCGCATAGGACCCCCTTGATGGAATAACGACTTTGTAAGATATGAATTACAATTTATCCCCACCCCACGAGGTAATCTATGGGTGAGCCCTATGTTCAGCAGTGAACTTTAATATGCTGTAACGGTAACGGTAAGATATGCAGGAGGGTCAAGACCGTGTTTTTTGGCGTTCCTTAGGATAGGCCTATGTTCTGCAGTGGACTTATAAAGGGCAGTCATGATGAATAATAATGATGCTCTTCTTCTTCCTAATCCCATAGAAGTCAATTGCTGGACATGGCGTTCCCCCATTGTAAGGATCTGTTTATTATGGGAGACGCCTTAGAGAAACGTACCTAACTGTAAACTATTAATATGAGGTTAAGAAAAATAGCAGTGAGTAGCAGCACAGAATAAATAATAGTACGAGAAGAGAAGGATCACTCTCTGATAACAAACTTGCAAGTTTAAACCTTGTTACAACGTTGCTAATGTTCATACATACTTTGCACGCCTCGGATGCGACCTTCGTTAAAATAGCCTACTGGTTTTTGCCCGCGTATTTTATCATAATGCACCCTACGTTTATGTGCGAGAGTCTGTATCACTTACCGCACCCATGTTAAGGCCGCTCCTACTGTAGGGCTAGGTATTGTGAGAAAACGAATTGAATCCTTTGATATTAGTTGGTAGTAGAATACACCGAGGTGTTACGCAATGTATTAGTACACATTATTGTTCAATGTGAGGAAGGTTAATATGCAACATCTAGAAAAATTAATATTATAACAACGTCTTTGAAACTCAAATAATTACCATTACTTACCATTTTCTGTTTCACATTTTTTGCTGTTCACAAACATGCGACACGCGATGGCATTGTTAATGAAAGAGTGGCAATGAGAAGTGCTGCTATTTTCAATCTCTTTCTTTTATCGACCAAGTGTTTGAAAATTACCAGTATATGTTGATCTTGCATTAGTATGCTGCAACTAGTACTGAGAGGTCTACTTACACTGAACAGTTATTTAAGGTCATTGACATTATATGCGAAAAAATCGAAAATTGCGAAGTTGTAATCAGGGCGACATAACTTTAATATTTTACATTTCGGTATCCTTAGGAACAGTAAAGAATGAAAAGTCGACATTCCTATTGTTATTGCACCCGTATGCTATGCAGTACCTTTTGGATTTTTGAAAGAACATACTTAAATAAAAACTCAAAAATAAATATCATAAGTGCCTAAATTCTTATAAGAGAAAAATACTATTTTATTAACATAAGGTGCGCGTCAGCACGAACGCGCCCGTGACAACCTCACGGAATTAGCTCCTTGTAGAGGGCCGCGCAGCGTGGGTATATTTTAATACCTAAAGCGCGGAGTGAGACAGACCTGGTAGCAGTAGAAATATGTAAGGGATATGTCAACCCAAACGAACTCCTAGCCAGGAAAACATCACAAAGCGAGCACCTTCTATGTAAAATATCTATAATATACCTTGGATACTCTCCTGTCACTTTGGCGTAAGACTGTATGTTCCTGATCACTTCCACCAGGTGATGGAGCTGGTTGCAGAACTCGGGCAGCTGCTCTGGTGTCAAGTATTGCCCGCTGTATCTGTGACACAATGGAGATCCTGCTTCTATAATCAGATCTCTTTCTCAGTTTCTACCCTTTTAGAGTTCCGTTGTAAGACACCTTTAAGTATAAAGTCGAATAGTGAATATAGGCCTCTTCCTTAGATTGCCTCATAGGGGGTATATTTGCCATAGTTGCCACGCTTAGCAAGCGGAATGCCAACCGCAGTTTTTTTATTTTAGTCGTTATTAGGAAGACGCTGCTGCCATCTCCTGATTTGTTACCATTTGTTGCCTCTTTTGACACCCACGGAATGATATGGGGTAGTGGATATTCTTACAACGCCATGACACGGTAGGTGTAATTCCTTACAGCCTGCCATTATACTGCCTCTCCATACCCTTCAGATCGGAACAGCAGTAGAATCTGACACTGCACTGCACTGTCATCTGGCGACAGAATTAGGCAAGAGGGTGGTACCCACCAGACAGACTTCTAGGTACAAAAGTAGCCCTAACACCTATTAGTTATAGTACACTAAGTAGTTTTTTTATAGGAGAGGGGGCATATAAGCATGCGGCTCACCTGATGATAAGTGACTACCGCCGACCATAAGCAACTGCAACACCAGGGGAACCAGGGGGATTGCAGATGCATTGCCGGCCTTTTAAAAAGGAGTAGGCTCTTTTCTTGAAGGTCCCTAAGTCGTATCGGTCCGGAAAAATCGCTGGTGGTAATCTATTAGTATTTTTAACTCATCTACCCACATTTAAGTCATATTATTATATTATTCAATATTGATTACAAGTAATTCTTATTGAAAATCATTTATTTTTACTTTACCACTGGTTCGGTAAAAACCACTGTCCTGGGAAGAACCGGCAAGAAACCCAGCGGGACTTTTTTAAAATAAATTTTACTGTATAAATGGTTAAAAACTATTTACAAAATTTCTTTAGAAACAGCTTGGGAGCGACCACCTCATTTCAAGGGGTTATTATCAACCATGTATTCGTTTATGTTATAATAACCCTTTTTATACAGGTTTTGTTTAATTAAATATTCAAAGTTGGTAATAGAGACATCTTGTATATTTTCTGGGACTTTCTTGTACTAGAGTATACAATGCCCCAAGAATGAATTACTGACTCTCTGTGTGCACGGGAGTATTGCATCCGGCATATATGAGATAGTATATCTACCATCTAACAAAAATATTATTCAGATCTAAATATCCAGACTGCCGACGAATCTCAAGCAATGCGTTCGCATATCCGTTTTACTATGTAGTTGGCCCATTTTCTATAGTAGTTTGTTCAAAGGTTGGTAAATGGAAGAAAAATTCCACTTCGCTAAATTAGAAAGTGCAGTCTAACCTTAGATCGATATTAGCAGCGAACTGGTCATCATCTGCGGGGGAGGTGGAGGTCGCTGGTTCTGGAGTAGGTGATGGTTCTGGAGCAGGTGATGGTGCTGGAGCATCTTCTTCATCGTTCGCGCTGACGAATCCAGCACTGTCGGTACTACAGCTGCTTTAATACAATGTTCCTTATTATTTCATTAGGTTTTTTTATATTACAGGTGTGAAAATTAATAGATAAGATCTAATTAAAAATAAATTGGTGTGCCTTAACTAGTTTGAGGAGTACCTCCCTTGCTCCCACAACTGCGTGCACTATAACTGTCGCCACGTCACTAAACTAGAAAAAGCACACACCGTTGGGAATATATTACGTGTTTCGCCTCTGTACGAGGCGTCATCCGAAGAAACAATGGTATGTCTTCCCTAGGGTAGTGGTGTTGGGTTTAGTGGTGACGAGGATAGTGCACACAATGGAGGGAGCGCGGAAGGCACTCTCTATTAAGACACATCATTTTTATTTTTACGCGGATATTAATAAATTTAACAGCGGCAAAATAACTTTAATATCTTTGACTTATTACTTTACTTACGTCCCGAACTCAACTGGCTTACAAGTAAAGGTGTGGTTGAATACCAAATTTTAAAGAAAGGAGGAGGATCTCAATTCGACTGTATGTTTTTTTTTGTATGTAGGTAGGTTACGCGACATCTTTTCTAATTTTCAATAGATTTTAATCATTCATTTTTTTATTAAATAGGTTTATTTATATCTCCGGGATAGTCCCCTTATTTGAGAACTAACTGTTGCCAGCGACTTCGCCCGTGTGTAATTTAGATTTTTTATTTTTTTGCGCTAAACCCTATTTCTTTTTCTTAAATAAAAATAGCCTAAGTTACTCCTTATAACACAAACTGTCTGCCAATGAAAGTCCCATCAAAATCGGTCCAGCCATTTTGGAGATTAGCCGGAACAAACAGACAGACAGACAGACAGATTTAAAATTGTGCTTTTGTCATAAGTACCGTATATACTTTCATATGCATTTAGTGAAAAGATGTTATTTTTACATTGCAAACAGACACTCCAATTTTATTTTTTTTTATAGATTATAGATATAGATTTGAAAATTTGAGACGACATTCTAGTTAATACTTTAAATTGACTTCGGAGAACTAAAAAGAAAGAAATTTAATAAAATAATTTCCTCATAATACCTTGTGAAGTCGGGGTTAAAATCTTCAATACCTACACTGTCATGGACGACAGAATGTCACTTCAGAATCCATTATGTGGAAATAATTTCCTGGTTTGTAGTTCTTTGGAGTCAGCTACTACGCCAGGATTGACTAATATTGGCGGGGGGAGGGGGGTTGTTTACATCCATCCGTCAAGATTCGGACCCGCGGCACCGCGGCTTAGCTTATGAACTAACAGAGCTGTTATGGTCTAGTGATCGTAAACGCGATTGCTGATCATAAGGTCCCGGGTTCGAATCCCGGGCTGGGCCAAAATCAATGAACGAGGTTTTCTGTCCAGAGCAGCCTGTCAGTAGCAGCCCGGAGTCAGGAAGTTAGCGGTGCTTCACTCCCGTGACTCGGGAAGCACGTAAACACATTGCTCCTGCGCCAGGTCCGGTCGTGTCGGATAACCATCCCATAGTACTTTGAGAGTGGGGGAGTAGAGAGTGCACCTGTGTTAACACATACACTTACGCACGATAATCCTGTCCTGTGCAGATGACTAGTCTCCGTTGAGACTTTCCGCCGTGATCGAAATTCGGTATGAAGGGCATTATTATTATTTGCTCTGCTGCCGTGATGAATATTCGCATAACTCACGCGGTGGACGTCATCGAAAAGTTATGGTCTAGCGTCTCCCGATGATGATCGCCACGCAGCCTGCCCAAGAGGCGGCTGAGCAGGCGCGACTGCCTCCCACCCTCCATGTAACGCCGGCTTTGCCTCTGATCCGTTGGTATTGGATGTAGCAATTCAACTCTGCAATTTTTTTGTATGTCATATCACATTGTTCACCTTTATAATATGTTCTTACCCTTGCTGGGCAAAAGATATTTCAAAAAATGCGTCAAGCGAGCCAGTTTTATTAGAGGCTGCGAGACATTCCATCGACTCAAAAGTGATTGTTACTTCTGAGCCGATGGAATGCCTGCATGCCTGCCCCACGCATCTGTACCCATCATTATTTTTCTACCGACTTCAAAAAGAAGACTGTACTCAATTCGACTGTATGTTCTTTTTTTATGTGTGTTACCTTATAACATTTTTCTGCGTGAACCGATTTCGAGGATTCTTTTTTTATTTGAAAGCTGATACTTCACATGTGGTCCCATATAAATTTGATCAAGGTCTGACGGATAGTTTTTGAGTTATCCTTAATGATTTATATTGAAGTCGGTTGTACAAAATTTTTAATTTAAAAATATATTTTATTACGTGGTAAAGCCATGCTGCAGCTATATTAGTAGTATAGTTGTAGCACGATTGGGTCGGCTCGACCGGGGAAGGACCACGCTCTCACAGAATACCAGCGTAAAATAGCAGCTTAAAACTGCTGTATCCCGTATGGTGAGTGTAGAGAACCGAAGACCTTTTTACTGGAAAAGAGGCATTCCATCTTAGTCCTCACGGGTGACAACGCATCTACATTTTGTTTGCAAACGATGATAGATGTAGATGTCTATGTGCCACAGCAACCACTTACCATCAGGTGGACTGTGTGCTCGTTTGCCACCCTATCCTATAAAAAAAAGATAGAATTCCTCACAGCCTGCCATTACACTAGCTCTCTGTACCGTACTGACCTAAACACAGCAGTGCATTTGACTCAGGCAGAAAGGGTGTTCTACCATCTGGTTATTAGGTAGGTACGTCTTACGTCTCTTACGCCCACTACCGCACGTTACTGCAGGACAGCACTAACTACTTACAATTTTAAAGCAGTGGTTGAATGAACGGTTGGTCAATATGTGTTCGTTTAGTTTTCAAATGCATTTTGTTTATTTTATTTTGATCACAATGTGTGATAAAATCGGTGACATTTTGACTTTAAATGTCAAATGTGACACGAATGTGACTGGTAAATACCGCTTTTTATGGCAATATTATAAATATTGGCCAGTTGTTAAAAACGTAGATATGAAAGACCGATTTTTAACCTAACTCGGAATATTTTTCTGGAAGCCACGCTAAAACACGAATAATTGAAAAGGATCACGTTTGTAAAAAATTCCAACCTGAAAAACAGAATTTAAAAAAAAAACCTTTGACAAATGAAATCTTATTTTCTTATCATAATACTGCAGTTTCATATAAGTAGTAATAACCGGGAGATGCTATATTTACTGGTAACAAGGCATTCCATCTTATGAATGGTATGGTAGCTTGGTAGTAGAAGACAGATGTAGGTGTCTATGGACCACAACAAGCATTTACCTACATTTATTTTGTAATGTCAATGTCAAAATAACAGCCTTTTACTAAATGCATAAAGAAGGTATATACGATACTTAAACACAATTTTTTAAATTTTTGTCTGTCCGGCTAATCTCCGAAAGGGCTGGACCGATTTTAACGGGACTTTAATTGACAGATAGCTGATGTTATAAAAAGTAACTTAGGCTACTTTTATTTTAGAAAAAGGATTAGGTTTCCGCGCAAAAATATGAAAATCCTAAATTACACGCGGGCAACGATGCGCTTTTACCTTTGGGAATCTCGACTGATAATTTTTATCACATTACGTACTTGTTTTTCTTTTTTGGATTTTCTACTATCTGTCGATCGCCAAAGGTGTGTACCGCATCTAGATAAATTAAAACAGTTTTTGAGGTTATAACAATTGTTACAATTTATTATTTCTCTGATAAGTAATAAGAAACCAATTTCCTTGGGGCTTTCACCCTTCGGAATCTTAGAAATTATATTAACACATAATAACGTATCGTGTCGTTTGTGTTGTTTGTTAATAATGAGTATTTAGAGGCATCAGTTTATTTTGTTCGTTTACTTTTTGAGTTTCTTTTTAATGTAGGTCGAGTTGTATTAACTCTGTGCAGCTTGATCTATTTTGGACATGTGTGATTGAGGCACTATTTAAAAACAACGATAAAATTATAACTGATTAACACAGGATACAAATGACATGTACAATGTCGTGGGAACCTGTACTAACCGTGGTAGTACTAGCTAGTTTGTAAATAGTCTGTTTCCGAAAAATGGATAGTGCCTCAGTCAACAATTTGAATGTAGGCCAACTTTAAGTTGACTTAATTTTTCTTCTGTCATCATCATCATTCATCATTACAGCCCTTCACAAGTCCACTGCTGAACATAGGCCCCCCCCCAAAGAATGCCACAAAGCACGGTCCTGAGCCACCTGCATCCATCGATTTCCTGCATGTCTTACCAGGTCGTCACTCCATCTCGTGGGGGGACGCCCTACACTTCGCCTACCGGTACGAGGCTGCCACTCGAGAACCTTTCTTCCCCATCGGTTGTCGGTTCTTCGAGCTATATGGCCGGCCCACTGCCACTTCAGCTTACTAATCCGTTGGGCTATGTCGGTTACTCTGGTTCTACTGCGGATATCCTCATTCCTAAGTTTATCACGCATAGAAACTCCGAGCATAGCCCTCTCCATAGCTCGCTGAGCGACCTTGAGCTTCCTCATACGGCCAGCAGTGAAGGACCACGTCTCAGTTCCATAAGTCATCACTGGCAACACGCACTGGTTGTACAATTTCGTTTTCAGGTTTTGAGGTATGTCTGACGAGAAGATGTGTCGTAGCTTCCCGAACGCTGCCCAGCCGAGTTGAATCCGTCGATTGACCTCTCGATCGAAGTTGGACTTACCTAGTCGGACTATTTGTCCCAGGTAAACATACTCGTCAACAACTTCGAGCTTAGTGCTCCCAACAACTACCGGCATAGGTGTGACATGGACATTGAACATGATCTTTGTTTTGTCCATGTTCATCTTAAGACCTATCCGTTGGGAAACACTATCGAGGTCATTGAGCATAGTGCTTAGGTCCTCCAGCGATTCTGCCATAAGGACTATATCGTCAGCAAATCTAAGGTGAGTGATGTACTCGCCATTGATGTTGATACCGTATCCTTTCCAGTCCAGAAGCTTGAAAACGTCTTCCAATGCAGCGGTGAAGAGTTTCGGGGATATGACGTCACCCTGTCTTACACCTCTCTGCAATTGGATAGGTTTCGTACTCTGGTTCTGTACTCGGATAGCCATCGTAGCCCTACTGTACAAGCACTTCAACACTTCAATATACCGACAGTCAACTTGGCACCGCTGAAGGGACTGCAGCACCGCCCAAATTTCGACGGAATCAAAGGCTTTCTCATAGTCCACATACGCCAGACATAGTGGCAAATTGTACTCTTCGGACTTCTGTACAATTTGCCGAAGGGTATGTATGTGGTCTATGGTGCTAAAGCCCTTTCGGAAACCGGCTTGTTCGGGAGGCTGGAAGTCGTCAAGTCTGCGCGCGAGACGATTCGTAATGACTCTCGAAAACAGCACGAAGACGCGGCTCAGAAGGGAAATCGCTCTGTAGTTCTTCAAGAGAGCGTTGTCACCTTTCTTGAAGAACAAGACCACCGCACTTCTGCTCCACGCCTCCGGTGTAATGCCACCATGGAGGACGGAATTAAAGAGCTTCTGAAGGACTTCAAGTACCGGTCTTCCACCCGCTTTCAGAAGCTCCGCTGTAATTCCATCCTCGCCTGGGGCCTTACCGTTTTTAAGGTGCTGGAGAGCCATTCTAATCTCGCTCAGACTGACGTCCGGGATATCTTCGGAATAGTGTCGGGTGAGACTCGCTCTTGGATCGTTACTCACACTTGCGTGTGGCTCCAACGATGACGTGTACAGCTGCCCATAGAACCTCTCAATCTCACTCAAAATCTCAGGTGTCCCGGAAACGATGCTGCCACATTCTGTCTTCAGCTTTGACAGGTGGCTCTTTCTGGCAGACAGATCTCTGGCAAAGACTTTGGAGCCTTGGTTCCGCTCGATCGCTTCTTCAATACGAGCTGTATTGAAGTTGCGTAAGTCCCGCCGCATGCATTTGGAGATCTGTCTGTTCAGATGCCTGTATGCTGTCAAGTCTGTTGAAGAATGTAGCTTCATCTCCCGTCTAACAGCCATGAGATTAAGAGTGTGATCAGAGTTTTTGTGTTCTTCTGCGGCGGGTCTTGCAGAACTTCGCTCCGACCGCATGGACAGTTTCCACGAGCTTGTCATTCATATCGTCCACTTCATTGCAGTCTTCTAGGCACTGAAAACGGTTTTGTAACTCGAGCTGAAAGGTTTCGGGACTTTGGAACAGAGCACGAGGGGGACGGAGCGTTGACTTCATTACCTCTCACCATTCGGCGATCGCTACCAGTTTTCACCCTCGCGATCACGGAGACATCACTGAACAGTTGTCGTCTGGTCGTCATAATGAAGTCAGTCTCATTTTTTGTCGAACCGTCGGGGCTCGACCAGGTCCACTTCCTGTGGGGCCGCTTCTGGAAGAAAGAGTTCATCATAAAGAGTCCCTCTTTCTCCATGAAGTCGGCCAGCTGCTGGCCCCTTGGGTTCCGTTGCTTTCACTTTCAGCTCACCGTTCTCTCTTGTGCCTAGTTTTGCATTGAAGTCTCCCATTAACACCGTATATTGGGTTTTGGAGGAATGCATGGCTCTAGAGATATCCTCATACATTTCCTCCACCTCCCCATCGGGGTGTGCCGAGGTTGGTGCGTAAACCTGTATGACCTTCAGCGAATACCGTTTGGTGATTCTGAGTATAAGGTACGCAACCCTCGTCGACACACTCCCGATCTTTACAACGTTGTTAACGAGAGACTTGTGGACGATAAATCCGACACCTCCTTGGGACAGATGGTCGCCCTCCCGGTGATAGAGCAAGTTGCCGGATTCGAGGATTACCGTGTCCTCCCCCTCTCTTCGGACTTCGGATAATCCTATAATATGCCAGCGCAACTTGTCTATCTCTTCTTCCAGCTCCACGATGTTCTCGTCAGTCCTCAGGGTGCGTGCGTTGTACGTTGCCAGGTCGAGTCGTCTAAGGTGGCAACCGAACCTCCACCGGAGATTCTTAGCACCCCCTGCCCCGCCGTGGTCGCCACCGTAGCCAGGAATAGCGGGGCCGCCGGGGACTGGGGGCCATCTTTTTGTTACATTCATAGGGGGGTATTTGCCATAGTTGCCACGCTTGGCGAGCGGGTTGGCAACCGCAGTTTTTTTATTGTAATTTTGGCTATTATCAGGAAGATGCTGCTGCCCATCTCCTGCCTGTTTCCCTTTGTCGCCTTTTACGACACCCACGGGAGGATATGGGGTAGTGGTATTCTTGACCGCCACTACACGGCAAATACATAATAACAGAAAATTTTTGTGTAACTACAAAGTTTGTAATAACTTGACAGGATTTTTTTTTAAATTCCATGTTGGTTCCTCAGTATAAATGAACACTGCGTATTCTTTTTGTTGACATTTGAAGATCAAATAAAAGATAATATCGTGAGTAACCTGTTTCCGAGGGCATGTGAATTCTGCCTACATGCAGAATTCACATGCGCGGCCGACTCTCAAAAACCCTCTTGTAAACGGGAGGCCCAATCCCAGTTGTGAAACCTACTTGGGCTAATAGCAGGGGCGTAGCTACCGCCGTATCAATGATACAGGGCCCCCGGGCTACAGAGGCTCCGAACGTATGTAAACAAAAATTCTAAGGACTTCTATGGGACAGGATGTTGGTTTTAATTGTTTGGCTAGCTTAGTTCCTAGGAGTATTAAATGTAAGTGTAAGAACTTATAATCAATACATAATTATTTTAATTCAATGCGAGTTTTTGTTCCTTTTGTGAAAAATCTTTACCCTTCATTTGGGCCCCCCAACAAATTTTGATACAGGGTCCCTCTAAGGCACGCTACTCTACTGGCTAATAGATAGGTATTTTTTAAGATAATAGAATCAGGCGTTGTTTTGAAGATTCATTATATTAAAGATGTTAAATTAATTAAGATTCGCGTAATAAAATAAATCGCATAGAGCTTTGCTTCTTGACCGCTTCGCTCGCAGAGCCATACCTCACCAGAGGATGCCTCGTTTAGAGGCGATAGACGTGTCGTATTATCGACGGTAGTGTCGTCTGTCCTAGTGTAATGGTGCTGGAATTGGTGGTGATATAATTTCATTTTATTATTTTAATTACGGTGTCTAGCGCACGTCGCTCGCAGTCTACTTCAACACATGTATTATCGACGGTTGACGGTGGTAACTTTCCTAATGTAGTGGTGCTGGAATTGGTGGTGACATTATGACGTCATTTTATTTTACTACGGGAATCTTAACTAATTAATTTTTAACATCTTTAATAGCTACTTTTAACTATGATTTCGATGCAAGGATACCAATAAAACAATAAATTTTACTGTATTGTGTAATTCATATAAAAATACAATTATCATTATCATATACATAATCGTGTCATTTGCCAGCGAAGGCATACAAAAATTATTATTTTATAATTATAATAAAAACACGAACTGCAAAACACTGCGATGATTTTTAAGTACATCCACATTTCCTGAGGCACACGTCAGTCTAGAGATACACGAAGCTCGGATAAAAAATAGTGCCACGCAAATTTAAAGGGGGCGTAAATTAGGCGAAATGGATGCTCTCGAAAATATCCCAAAATCTCATTACGAATCTTAAAAAAAAAACTTAAAATGAAATGAACCTTAACTAATTTAAATGCCTGATTAAAACCAATCGTATATCAATCACTCATCAAAATACCATGTTACTGTTACCGCTTACCACAAATTGTGAATTTGGCTTTTCGTGTAAAACTTTAAAATATTACAAGTCTAATAGAGAGTTTTGGCTTGACAATTGACACAAGCTTTGAGAACACCACAAGATTAAAATAGAAAATAAATTCTATTAGTACCATATAAAAAGTACTGAAGAGATATTATAGTAAATATTTTAAAAACGAATTGCCTTTGCGAGGAATAGAACAGACTTCATACTGAGCTAAAGCGAAACCACGCTAAGAAAACTGGCTTGGGACCAGTGGAACTAACCATCAATCAAATTTCAATGAACAGTCAAGTTCAAACCTACTACAACATGCCATATAACTTGAGACAACAACGGATGCATCCAAAATACAAGAAGAACCCAATCTTTCTATTCGACAAATAACAAAATGTACCAACAGCTTCGAGCCATATGTATTTATAAAACCCGCTTATTCTATAATGTAACAACTTCTTATTAAATGTAAGTACAGGCCCACAATTATGATATCAATAATTCTGGCCCAAACATTTATACTCCCATCGCACTGGATGATAACTATCTTTTTTAGCGTGTGGGTTGCATACTACCCAGTAATGTTCGTTACGACTATTATAAAGCCCTACACGCGTAAATAGGGCTTCGTCAGTCCACATAATGTTAGTATAATCAATGTTTGACAACAACCATTCACAAAAATGTTTTTGAGGTGAACCATCGTTATTATCCAGTGCTTGCACACATTAGTAATGAAGTGGGTGATATTCAGAAGAATTCAGTAGTTTTCACACATAGTACTGGTTAACTTTGAATTCTTGAGCTGCATCATTGGTGCTAGCGCGGGGGTTTCGCTCGATATACTGCGTTTTCCACAGCATCATTCGAAAAATCCACAAGCAAGCCCAAGGAGGGTTCCTTGGCTCTATTCATCACAATTTCTATTCAATTCAAATAACCAACATCTTAACAAGAACTTGACTGCATGCAACATTACATATCTAGCGAAGGCACATAACTAACACAGAAATTAACCTAACAAATTTACACAACTGGTCCCCAGCGAGAATCTTAACTACATGCGACAAAAACTAGCAAGCTCCGTCAGTTTTACCACAGCCCTGAGGAGAAACCACCTGGTGGCACGCGGACACGCTTTGGAGGATCAGTCTTAGGTGGTTGCTCATTGGCTGGTTGCGACTTAGGTGCTTCCGTTTTAGGAGACTCATTCTTCATTGGTTCGTCAGGAGTGACAGCAGGTGATACGGTCTCGGGTTGCGGAGCTTCCTTTGGAGATTCCTGACAGTTTCCATTCTGGCTTGGCTCAGTCGCACCATTGGTAGGCTTCGCTGGCTCTTCTGGTTTAGGCTGGGCTGGAACTAGAATGCAATTAAGTTATTAAAATATAAAGATCGTAGCTCCCAGTGTTGTGTTAACAACCTGATAAAGATTTTTTTTTATATAAAATAACACCTAGTCTTATGATGGATATATATTTATGGATGATAATAACCCCTGGAAATAAGGTAATCCCTACCAAGCTATTTCTAATTTGTTGTGTTGTTAATTTGTGTAACATATACGATTTTAAGCTGTTATTTAAAAAAAAGTCCTGCTGGGTTTCTTGCTGGTTCTTCCCAGGACAGAGGTTTTTTTTCCGAACCAGTGGTAATTAAACAAAAGAGTAACTTTCAATAAGTATTATTCATAATCTATATTGAATAAAAAAGTTTCTGTTTCTGTTTCTTAGTTGTAGACGTGACGTAGGGTCACTGGAGTGACAAACGAAATTACAGTCTACCTGATGGTAAGTGGCCTTTCTAATCCATTTGATTGCAAACTTCAAACAAATAACATGGAACGTGAACATGAGCTGCAGTAAACCATGGAGTCCATTAAAAGAAGACTCCAGATGCGTTCACCTCTGAGGACTGAGATGGAATGCCTCATAACTTGTAATTATACTGGCACTTTATACTGTTCAGACTGGAACACAGCCATCCAAGCACTGCTAAGCAGTGGAAACACGTAAGAGGGTGGTCCAGATGGACTACTAGGCGGAAAAGAAAGTTCTACCATGCAGAAATGGATACAATGGATTGTTTCGTTTTTTATTAAAAAAAATATACCACGTTTTTTATCATATTCTTGCATTGTCACACGAATTTGAGCTATTTTCAAAATTTCAAGTTTCCAGCTCATCGGAAAGTTTGTTGAATATCAATTACTAAATTCCACCCAGAAGTACTAAACAGACAGACAATCAAGAAAGTGAAATAATAAAAATCTAGTAATTAAATAAACATCTTAGTAATAACATCATTGATCTGCTTGCTTAGCGTGCACAAAACAGATAGAGATAGAAGATATTATATTACTTCCACTGGTGTGAGGCTAATGCATTATAATTCTCTTATTCTATAAATATTTTAGATATTGATTTGTATAGTTATTTTAGAATAACGCTCAAAGCCTTTATGAAGATTCGTGAACTAACTAGGTGGCAAGCTGGGGGTGTGGAAAGTAACTCAAGGGTTAAAATTTTATAAAAACCATTAAGGATCCCATACATGGCACGGTTACCACCTTAGAAATAATCTTTCTGCTGACAGTGTTTACAAAACTCCTCAACATTTTTAAGCCAATGCCTATCCCACCTGATAGTAAACGGTGAGAGTAAGGGTTATTATAATACTCTCTCTGTCAGAATTTCAGAGGTTGATTTCTAGACTAATTTTAAAATAATGACCACATGACCATTGGATGTGACGTGTGGTGGCCTAATTCATCCCGTGGCTGTCATTTGAGACGATTATGGAAAAGAGACATAAAAACTGGAGAATAGAAAGGTATAAACATTTGTTTACAGCAGTCTCATAATACCGACATCAACGACAGGCAGCAACGTCAAAGGTACGTGAGACGTCTGTTGCAGTAATACCAGACTTCTCATCAATTATCTGCAAAGTGGTAAGACAACTCTTTCTATGACAGGAGAGGCCGATGACCGTGACATGCAGGGCAGTATGAATCCTATCCTATTGTATCTATCTATCCTGATATCCTCTTTGGTCTAGTGATTGTAAACACAGTTGCTGATCATGAGGGCCCAGATTCGAATCCCGGGTCAGGTCAAAATCAATTATTGAGTTTTTCGGTCCATAAGTAGCAGCCCAGAATCATGAAGTTGGTTGTGTTTCACCCCGTAAAGCATGTAAAACTATTGCTCCTCGACCTGTGCTTGTGCATACCGTCTGCGTTAGGAATGGCCGCCGTGACCGAAATTCGGTCTGGAGGACATTATTATTATTATCTTGATATCCTAAAAACTATTAGTGTCGTTTTATATTATAAGTGCACCGATCATACCTGTAGCATTAGGTCCAGGGCGTCTTCCAAAGCGCTGGGGCTCCGGCTCGGCGCCAAAAATGTCGGTGTGACCACCGCCGGGCGGACGGAGCACCCTGCTGGATAGTCGGGGTTCATCAGAGAGACCAACGCTGAATGGAGTAGAAGTCATTTTTATCTGAAATAAAAAGAAAGTATTACGTAGGCGAAAACTATTATTACCACCATTCACAAGTTCACTGCCGAACATAAGCCTCATCCAAGGAATGCAGCAAAGCACGGTCCAGGGCCAGGTTGTCACTCCATCTAGTTGGGGCCGCCCTACACTTCGCCTATTGGTACAAAGTATGTCGGTTACTCTGGTTCTACTGCGGACATTCTTATTTCTAAGTCTATCACGCAGAAAAACCCAGAGCACAGCCCTCTCCATAGTTCGCTGAACGACTTTGAGCTTCCTCATACGGAAATACAATTTGTAAATTAATAACCTCTTTTCAGTCGAACATGTGATAAATTAGAATTTCAAATCGATTAACAATCCTCAATGGTGCCGGCGGGGATCAAACTCTGGTTGATAGCACGTAACTAAGAAACCCTAGAAAGAGCGCTCAGCCCTTGAAGTATCGCGGCTCACGATTTCTAATAGACTTCCAAAAAAAAAAGGTTTTATATTCAACGCGTAGTTATTATATATGTTTATTGATTTCTCAGAAAAGGCTGAACAGATTTTAAATGTTTCTTATTTGAATAAAACTCGTTTTACGGATTTTGTCGCGTTTAATTTAACTTTTTAATTATTTTTAGTTCCCGATGTTTCGGTTGCTTTACACTACAGCAACGTCGGAAATTAAAAATAAGTAAACAAAAATTAAACGCGATAAAGTCCGTGAAATTAGTTTTATTCAATGTCAATTATTCGTGTAAATAAAGAAAAATGATTATGTCTACTTCTTATTTAATAGGTTATTTTTAATTAAATAGACTATACTGCAAGAATGTTATAATTAAAAAAAAAGGAAAACTTCCACCTTAAGAATGGAAAAAATAGGCGATGAAGCTTTTATTAAAACTATTATGGCGACATTCTGGTAGTTTTTTTTTAATAGAATTAGGGTGACAAACGAGCACACAGTCCACCTGATGGTAAGTGGTTGTACTGGCCCATAGACATGTACATCTATCCTCGATTAAGAATCAAAATGTAGAAGTCACCCGTGAAGACTAAGATGGAATGCCTCCTTTCCAGTAAAAAAGGGTCTCCGGTTCTCTACACTCACCATACGAAACACAGCAGCGTAATGCTGCTATTCTCCACTCATAGGGGTAAGAAATTAAACTAATAAAAAGTTAAAAATAACTTTAAAGGCTAAAAAAATTTCTTCATAATAACTACTGTAGGCGGGGTTTTGATTCTTCTATACACTAAGCATTAGCAGCAACTATAGAAGGTATTATGTGGAAATTATTGTCTTTTTAGTTTATGAATTCGGTTTCTACTTTTTATTACTTAGTTTTTTTTTTTTTAAATATAACATTTAAAGTATTTTCAAGTAGGTCTTCCAGTAATTTATTTATAACAAAATCAATATGCCATATTGACAAATAAATTCAACGAATTTGTGTGACACGGTTCGATGTAGGTATCGATAACAGGCATTATAATCTTATCGTTCTATTGAACTATATTGAAAACAAGGCGGAAGCCCCGTGTCGAAAATGTGCGTTATTTTTACAAATATAGAATATGAGCTAAAAGCGTAAACTGTTTTTGTGCGGCATCGCAATACAAAATTGTATGTAAATACCTTTAGCCTATCAAAAGCAAACAACATAGGCCTTCCATTCGATTGCCTGGTAACCTGACCAGCTAAGCCTGATTGATAACCGCAATTTTTTTCCCAGCCTGAAATAGCAGCTTAATGCTGCAGTGTTTCGTATGGTAAATATAGAGAAAACTTGAGATCCTTCTTATTGAAAACTTATTTCGTGCGGGTTCGAATCACACACGGAATAAGTGGCCTACAAATAATTGTTCCGGGTCTGGGTGTTTGTCCTCGTGCAATTTATGTTTGTAAACTGCCTCCACGATACAGGAGAAAATCCTGGTGTGAGGGTAACGTTTTTTTTTTAAAAATCATCGGGGGTGACAATGCGTCTGCATTTTGATTCTAAATCGGGGATAGATATGGGCCACATCAGCCATTTATCAAAGTCGACTGTGAGCTCCTTTGTCACCCTTATTCTATAAAAGAGTTGATTAAACATATAGATGTGAATGGCTCTAAGAGTGGAGGGAGGCCCAAGAATAGATGGATGGATTGAGTGACGGATGATACGCGCAAGAAGAAGAAGATCCACACCTACCTACTAAAATATTCGTATCGGTTTCGCTGTAAATCAGACAGGGACAGTTTAGGATGAGGTAAGTAGTCAGCCCGTGGTTTTAGCAACAATCGGTTTTTTTTTTTTTTATAGAATAAGGGTGACAAACGAGCACACAGTCCACCTGATGGTAAGTGGTTGCTGTGGCCCATAGACATCTACATCTATCTTCGTTTGCGAATTAAAATGCAGATGCGTTGTCAGCCGTGAGGACTAAGATACAATGCCTTATTTCTAGTAAAATGGGTCTCCGGTTCTCTACACTCACCATAAGAGACATCAGTTAAAACTGCTATTTTACGCTGGTATTCTGTGAGAGCGTGGTCCTTCCCCGGTCGAGCCGACCCATTCGTGCTACAACTATACTACTAATATAGCTGCAGCATGGCTCTACCCACGTGTAAAATATCAGACGCTATCGTAATAAAATTAAAGTCAACAACACATTACCTCAAAATCAGAGGCTCAGATCAAACCCGGAAAACTTGGAATTTGATCTCAACGAAGCGTTCAAAATCACTCATAATTAAACGTTAACTATAACTAATAGCAATAACTGAGCAATTAATCAGAATTTGCACGCGACTAGCCAACGACCTAATAAAAAATGCATAACATAAAACAATTTTCTACTGTCTACACAATATTCCACTGCATTCGTCCGAAGCTAAAACCGAAACTGATTATGATCAGTTAAACCAGATTCTATGTGCTCTGGCATCATTGAAATTCTAAATTACGTAGTTATGTTCTCTTCACTCATCATACGCAGCTCAGCAGTACTTTATTTATACGTGGTAGAGCCATACTGCCCCCATATTGTTGTAGCACGAATGGATCGAATCGACCGGGAAAAGACCACGCTCTCACAGAATACCAGCGTAAAATAGAAGCTCAATGATGCTGTGTTTCGTATGGTGAGTGCAGAAAACCGGAGACCCTTTTTACTGGATACATCTTAGTCCTGACGGGGGACAACGCATCTGCATTTTGATTCTTAATCGGGGATAGATGTAAATTCAATATGTCGATTAAGGCGCAGGTTGAGCAAAATGTCGCGCTAGTCGTTATTTGGGCGGTTTTTAGGAGCTATCTACTTTTTATTTAAAAGATATATCAACAAATAAAAAACACATTATATTTCTACATAATCTTGATTCTATAAAAGCTATATCCAATTTTTTTTTAAAGGAATAAATATTAATATAATCTCCTTACAACGAAACCACATAAATGTGAAATTATTATTGATAACATGCATCTCCTCGTAAAGTAAGTATTATTTTATTTTGCGATTTACACCAATGGATAGGCAATTTATTAATAAACATTTGTATAGTAAATTTTTTTTCAAAAGACCAAAATTTGATTTTATTAAGAAATTATTTTAAAATCTGGGCATATTTACTGCTCACGGGCTTGCTTTAGTCAGTGAGCGCTGAGCTCTTCGACGTGAAGCCCGTGTCGTTAGAGCGTCGACCAACGCATACGCCACGTCATATGAGTCGATAATATTATTACTTATTAGGTTATTTATAGGTAGTATTATTTGTTTGTTTTGGATATAAATTTTCGTATTAGTTATACATATATTTGTTGTGTTTTTTACTGCGCGATGAAGATTTTTGCGTGTATTTTCTTTGAAGTAAATGCAAATAAAAAAATGAAGCACCATTAGCATGTAAGGTTCGAATCCATAATAAAAATTTCGACAAATATTATAATTTACACTATAAAAGGCTAATTCAATATTATCACCCAACCACAATATCTTATCAGGTATAGTACTGCCTCGTTGGTCTAGTGGTTGTAGTAGTGCGACTGCTGATCATGAGGTCCCGGGTTCGAATCCTGGGTCGGGCCAAAAAGTCAGTTATGAGTTTTTCATTTATGTTCTAAGTTATAATTAGTATTACTAAGTTATAGTTTTTTGCTAAAATATAGTATATTATTTATTGCTTGTTTTTTCTTCTTTTTCAAAAAATAATTGAGTACATAAGGTGTTCTATACTTATAACTCGGTAAAAAGTACTAATATACCTACTTTTTACTATAAACTAAAAAATTTTAAAACTAAATTTAACTAAAAAGACTAAACTGACCATTTATTTTTTAACTCATAACAGGACATGGGTTTATTTATACTCTAAAAACTATAACTTTATACAATTAGTGTTCACTATAAAATTATATTCGGTATAGACGGTAATTATTAAATGCAACATATTTTTTTTAAATTATTAATTACATTTGTCAGTGGATTAAATTTGCTTTAACAAAGTTGGTGATGATTTTAAATAAGAATAAAATTCTGCTCAAGTTTTTTATTGTTATCTTTGTTAACAACATCGCCTTTAGAACTCTGGAACCGTAAGTGTTTCTTTCAGACGTCCACTATTTATGCAAAATAAAAAAATACTCTTTCTACCGGAGCATTCGTACCAGGTAGACATAAAATATATTCGATTAAAAAAAATTATGTTGAAGATTGTTGACTTTGAATACTTCCATCCAACGAGTTACGGGACAATTTTGTGTCCCGGAGCTTTGTTTGGGGACAATGGGACAGGAGACCGAGAAAAGGGACAGTCCCGTTCAAAACGGGACGTATGGTCACTTTAGCTATAACTCGGCGACCATGAAGCAAATACAAAGTTAGTCTTTGTATTAGCTTCATGGTGGCGCAGTGGCTTAGCAATCAGTTGTTGCGCTGGGGGCCGCGGGTTCGAATCCCGCATGGAACAAGATTTGTATGGCCTACAAATAATTGTTCCGGGTCTGGATGTTTGT